AAAAAAAACCAGCAATTTCCCAATATGCAAATATTAGTATACTAGTTGTTATCCTAGTTGATATTATGGAATCCATTTATTTCCCTCTTTTTCTATGGTCCACAAACACTTACAGTGTAAACGGGTTGAAGGAGCAAATTTTGACTTTACTCTAAAGCGAGAATTATAATATGTGGTCACAAATAAGAGGGTGAGATACATAAGTGGGGTCTTTGATATAAGATAAAGAAGAAAAGTCATGCAAGTAGAAAATGGGTAAGAAGATGTCAATTTCAATGCAAAACTTTTCTCATACACCTTACATGGTTTTACACTAAGCACATTACAATGTTAAGGTGTTCTATGTGTTATAACTTGTGATGCAAGAAACTTTAAAAGAAAATTATAACGTTTGACATGTGAGAATTCTAAAGCGGGTGTTTTCACACTAACAATTATATTTGATTATTCCCTATCAATTTATGTAAATTGGATGTAAATGGTGTTGAAGTAAGCCTCAAAATCTCATATGTAGAATTTTGATTTTAGAACTGTCATATGGCATCGTGGCTACGGAGGTTGAATCCAACGGCGGAAGCCTTCAACTCGGGTCAGCTAGGGGCTGGTTCGACTTGGTTCATCTAGTCTCAAGGTCGCTGCGGCTGGCCTCGGAGTCGGGTTGACTCGAGGACAGCTCATTGACTTGCTCGCGGCTCTGATCAAGTTGCGTATCGGGTCCAAAAGTCTGGTCCATCAGAGATTCTAGTGTTTATATATGTGGATATCTCTCAGTTTTGTAGGACAAGGAATTCAAGTTTTGAAGAGAAACAAGGTTAGTCGGCAGCGGAACGCCAAAAGTCTAGTCCATAAAGGTTTCAAACCATTATTATAAATGCGTTTCTCTGTCACTTTTGTAGAATGTGTGAAGAAGTGGTAATCCTAATGAAAGAAACTTAGAAAGATATTGGAAGAAATTATTAGGATCTATTATTTTAACAATTGGAAGATCTTTGAGGATATCTAAATGGATTGAGAAACTTCTAAATTTTGAATTTGTGTAATTCATATAATCAAAGGATCAGTGATTGAGCACCGAGGATTCTACACGGGACATCGAAAAGTTTATCATAGATAATGATTTTTTAATGTGAAAAGTGAAAATGCAAACAATCTTAAATCAATAAAGGTTTGTAGAAGCATACAAGGGTGAGACATTAATGCTTGTACGCTTAACAAAAATTGATGACAAATGTCAAGCGGTTTAAAAGATGACAATTCCAAAAGTCAAATGGTTTTTGGTGTTGATAGCTCTCTTCGAGAGTTATTTGTGACAACTGTCAAGGAAGAGTTGATTGCAAATATTCAGTAGTTTCTAATGATTGTATTTGATTAAGAAAAAGATATCTCAAGTCTTATGAATCAGATGATTCAAGTTTCAATTGAAGTGCTTATAAAAGGTTGAATCAATCAGAGGAATTTTTAGCCTTAACATGTGAAAGTGAGAAAGTGAGAACGTTCGCTTTGTCCTGCGCTTAACGTTTTAATTTGATCAGTTTATTGTAAAAGGAACAAGAGTGAGTCTTGAGGTACTAAGACAATCATACACCCAAAATGTTTTTCAAACCTTTTCTAATTTTATTAAACTTCTTAAAACCATGCAAGTATAGATTCGATCAAGAAGTGTTTCTAATTAATCAGGAAAAGTAACTCACCGCCGAATCGATTAAATCAAGAGAAATGCATTCTAATAAATTAGAAAGGGTTTTTGTTTCTAAGGTTGTTTAATTGATTAACTCTTTAATTTGGCACATGAATTGTTTCGCTTTTTAGTCAAATCTTTTCTTATATAAAGGAGGTTTCTTCTCATTTTATTTTACACCATATTTCGAAATAAGAAACTTCTCAATTATTTTATACTCTTTCTTTATAAAACTCTTTTTTTCACTAGAGTTGTTATAATGCCGAAAGAGTGAAAAGTCTTTTTTAAGAATTATGTTGTACTTGTGTTATGTTTAATTTGTTTTATTTAAGAGTGTGATTCTTTTATGTAATATCTTTGTATAGGATTTGAAGATTGCAAATTAAACCTAAAAAATGTTTGGGTGAATGTTATTGAGCTAAACATGTCTAAAAGCTTTGATTGTTAGTTCTTGAGTTAATAATGTGTAAAAACCTGTTTGTTGTTAGAAGGTGATAAATGCTAAAAATACGTAAAAATACATAAGTATTTATTAAATTAATTTGCAAGTGATCAATGGAAACTGTTCTGGACTGGGCCGATGTCTGACCCATAGTCGGGCAGGCCCAAACTCCACCAGGTTGGAAGGCTCAACAAGACCCCTCGCCCAGCAGTAGGAGGTCTGTCGGGCAGAACATCTTCTCCCGTCGGGCACAAACCAACAGCCGTCGGGCAGGACCGTCATAGCTGCCGGAAGCCTTCTCCTGCCCCACGGTCGGGCAGACCCTCAGATCTCCCCCATGTTCTCTATGTGTTCCCTACGCGGGGACACGTCATCAAGTAACTACCCGTGTCCTGTGTCCTGACGATTCGGTCTTCCACCTCCCGGATAGCACGGAACAGTTATACTAGGGCGAAGACCACGTGTTGGTCTTCACGACGCCACGTCAGCCCTAGCAGCTACCAACGTTGGGCCTGGCAGCCCAGTCCAACGCGTGGTAACCGTTGGCCCTGCGCTGGGGGCTCATTATAAATACCCTCTTCCACTAGAGGGTCAGGTAATCAATTCTCACTCCTTTTCTTTGTACTTGTTAGCACTCTGCTCGTCGCTTATTTTGGCATCGGAGTGTGTTTCAGGTACACCCCCCTCTGTCCTTCAAGTCTATGTTCGACAGCTCAGACGCGTGGCAGCCCAGCGATCTCTCTGATCAGATATGATCACTATGTAATTCTTCTTATGCTTTGATATTGATAAATTTTTCGTGTTTAATGCTTATTTTTGGATTAGCCACCTAAACACATGTTTTCCATGGTTTTGATTCAATATCTAGAGAAACTTGTTAATTCTAAATCCAAGCTTTTTATCTCCTAGATGTTAAACTCTAGAGATAGATTTAAGTTTAGTATCCGCGTGAACTATCGAAGCTTAATTCTATAATATTGGTTAATAGTTTGAGAAATCGTCTATTAGGGTCTGTTTGGTTCAAATGAGGGGGAGGGGAGGGGAGGGATTTTAATGAAGGGGAGGGGAGGGGAGGGGAGGTGAAGGAATTTTTTAATTAAATAAGTGTTTGGTTCAAAAGAGAGGAGGGGAGGGGAGGAGAGGGATTTTAATTAAAAATGTGTTTGGTTCAGAAGGGGAGGGGAGGGGTTTTATTAATAATTTACATTTTTATCCTTATGATCTTATATAAGTCATATGATATTAAAAGGTGAAAAATTCGTGCGTATTTTTGTTGGTATTAAAATTTCTAATATTGAGTGATTAAAAAAATATTTATTTGTCACTAAAGTTAAAAAATTGAGTACAATCGATTCGACTTATAACTTTCCAACATAAATTAAACTATATGCCAATAACATCGTTTAAATTGTGATGAATCATATAACAAAACAAATTTATAAAATAACTTATTACTAAATATTAATGGTTCAAAATATTTAATAAATTGAATAAACAAAAATAAATAAAATGATATGGTTTACAATTTGATATAAAAGAAAATATGATAGAGTACATAACAAAATTAAAAGAAACAATCGAATATAACGAAACATAATTTTTTTTATAAAAAAAAAGACAATGATTATGGTTTATATTAATTATAAAAATTATAAAATAATTTGAAGGTGAAGAACAATTATAATAAATTGATGAAAACAATCGAGAAAAAACAGTAACATAAAAGATAACAAATAGTTTTGGAATAATAAAATTAAACTGAGGATATTTTAGTAAATATAATAATTTTTAAATATCAAAACTAATATTCCCTTCCCTCCCCTCCAAATCCCCCCAATTCGGAGGGAACCAAAAAGTGTGTTTTGGAGGGATTTTGCTCCCCTCCCCTCCCCTCCCCTCCCCTCCTAAAATTTGAACCAAACATATTTAATTAAAAATTTCCCCTCCCCTCCCCTCCATCTACCCCGAATCAAACACACCCTTAGGGTCTGATTCGAGGGAAAGAAAAATCACTCTACTACGGAATCGGATCCCCTCCTCTTTCCTCCCATTCCTTTCTAAAATAATGAATCAAACACTCCTCATTTAAATATTCCCTCTCCTCTCCTCCAAAATCCCCCAACCAAATAAACCTTTAGATAATACGATTGACTTCATGTTGTTAACTCAGACATGAGTTATGACACAGAGTAATGGGTGGTAATATTAAAAGCCGATTAGAATTGCATATTATTCATCACACTTATATATAATAATAGGTTGATGAAATCTGACCCAATAAATTTTCGAAACTGTTAATACTAAGGTTCAATTTACTTATGTTATTACAATTTCAGAAACAAATGAACTTGGCAAGTAGGAAAATCTAGACAGTATGCGTCAATGGTATTGGATAGAAAACATAACTCTGCACCATTATGTACCACATGAGAAAATGACTTATTGTTAATTAACTTGAAACTAAGAGTCTTGGCACCCCTTAGAACAAACCTTAAAATCCTATGACAGAATATGATAATTGCTACAAACTTTCTTTTTCAATTTCTACTCGGTTTGTTTTTTAAAACCAACAATTTTCTTATTCAACTAACTCTAACAATTAGTAATCAGTTGAAACAGAATAGTCCAACAGATTGCTATATAAGCTTTCTTTCTCAAACAGTTTAATTTACATTGTAACTAAATCAAGATTAAACAAAATCAACCATGAGTATCATTTCACATAAATTGGTAGAATGCAACATCCATATATAATTAAAACTCTTTGATGTTCTACATTTCATGTTCTTTTACTATATCTAGTTTTCTACATAATGCATAAGAAATTGTATGTGCAGTGAGAAAGTGTATGTGCAACTTTACTTTAGTCTTTCTTTTCCATTAAGTCGTTAATGTATCCTCCGTATGACCCTCGATTGTTTCTTTGTCGCAAACAGTTGAATCGATGACCTGTGGTTGCGGAAACTCCTCATTGATGTTACCATTTGCTACTGCTAATGGCTCATTTTTATCTTCTTCAACCACGTCTATCGATGGAACCTGCCGAGTTTACAAAACAAAGACGCATCATCATGCAAGTTGAAAACTACATAGACATATAAATTTTAAAGAATCAAAATGTTACTTTGTCATCAGCTATATCTCTTGATTCTTCTTCATTCATAGTTTCCATCACATTTATTTGTTTGATGGATTCTGAAGTAGCCTCTTGGCTAATTTGGTGTGAAGAATTGTCTTCACTACTTTCGCCATTATTTAATTCGCCTCGTTGTTCATATCTTTCGATTTCTTCGTCATTCATGTTTCTAGGAATGTTTGATTCAACATTATGTGATTCATCAGCTATCTCATCCACCAAAGTTTGTTCATCATTCATGTTTCTAGGAATGTTTGATTCAATATTATGTGATTCATCGGCTATCTCATCCACCAAAGTTTGTTCATCGTTCATATTTCTAGGAATGTTATGTGATTCATCAGTTATCTCATCCACCAAAGTTTGTTCATCATTCATGTTTCTAGAAATGTTTGATTCAACATTATGTGATTCATCCACCAAAGTTTGTTCATCATTCATGTTTCTAGAAATGTTTGATTCAACGTTATGTGATTCATCGGTTATCTCATCCACCAAAGTTTGTTGATCATTCATATTTCTAGGAATGTTTGATTCAACATTACGGGATTCATCAGTTATCTCATCCACCAAAGTTTGTTCATCATTCATGTTTCTAGGAATGGTTGATTCAACATTATGTGATTCATCCGTTATCTCATCCACCAAAGTTTGAATACTTCGAGACATGTTGTCATGTGAATGTTCATCTTCATTCAAAGTATCCTGTGGCATATCTTCGATGATAGATTGCGGAGAACCTATCTCCATCTGTTGATTAAAAGACGGAGACGCAGCGTCATCTGATATGGTCTTGTCTGGTAAAACAGACCTCGGTGACGATGAAATCGATTCACTAGAGCCTTCATCATCAAGTGATTCTTGCCTTACAACTGGTGGAATATTACCAGGATCTTCGCTACTTATCAAGTTCTCTCTGTTACCTTGTTCCGTGGTCGCTAAGTTATTCACATCATTGACATCATGCGACTCATTAATCGAAATCTCTTCCGATATTTGATCCATAGGGCTTCCTATCAACTTATTCTGAGATATTGTATCATAAGGCGAACGAGAAGATTGCGGCACTTCATATTTCCCCCGAGAAAATTTCATATAATTACCGAAAGCGTTATGATCGGTGTTTACTACACAGCAAGTTGGTGTATCTTCACGTCCTTCGTCTCTTGACGAATACGAACTAACATCAGCTACATCTTCTTCATCTATTTGTCGTAAAGACATAGGCGAAGCAATTTCCTTTAAGCTGTTATTTGCATCTTCGCCGTTGTTATTCTCTTCGGTTTTAATTCCTTTTCCATGGAAAGAAGCTCCCCACAAATCTTCACTGCCAGAACTAACATCTCTATCAATATCTCCATCATATAACATAGAATCTCTATCTCTATCACTTGATGAATTGGAATCGACGTTATCATCAACGGTCGATGAAGGCGAACCAATTTCAGAAAGTTCCACTTGTAAATCAGAAGCTATGGAGTATGTTGGCGTGTGACAAAGTCGTCGATCGCCTGAGAACATAGTTTCTTGTCTCTTGTCGAGTGGCGATGGAACACTGTCACACATAGATTCGTTCATAGTTTTTGTATCGGTAAAAGAAACCGGTAAACTAAGGAGCCTCTCGTGAGACTTCAAAAACCTTGACGCCGGCCCTGACCCTGGTTTTTGTGAAACACTATTAGTTTCAATGTTTGAGATGTTTGAAACTTTTGAGCCTGATTCACTTGATTGAACTGACATGGTTTTTGTGTCATCTATATGAGTTTTACATTTTTCATCATTTTCGAGTTTTGCTTCCTTGCCTTTGACAAGTGGTTTTGGTTCTTGAATTCCATGTTCAGCCCCATCATTGTAGATCAATTGCTCAATTAGCCAGTCATGATTCCCTTTATCTGCATAAGTATAATCATACAATTTAACATTTAGAATAGAGAATTTTATTCTAAGATAAGAAGATAAATTTACACACAAGAACACGATGATTGATCACGAAGTTCGGCCAATTATAGTATGCATATGTCTCTGACACAAGAAAATAACCTCTGTAGCACTGACATCTCTGAAAAAAGGCATGCCAGTGTCGTGTCTATATGTCTGTGTGTCTGTGCTTCATAGAAAATACCTGGAAGCCTTCTAAATCTTGATAAAGCATGTTTTTCTGAAAATTTCCTGCCATGAAAAGAATGACTCTCTCTAGTTCCATGTTCATGATTCATATCTGATGAAAAATTTGAACCTAAACTAAAACTCTCATGCCTACTAAAAAGCACATCCTTCTGAAAATCTTTAAGAAAACCGCCACTTGAAAGATTCGGTTTCTCCTCATAAGAATCATAAGGAATATCATAAGGACTCCTTGGCATAACAGAAGGAGCAGAGCCAGGCATGTCTAAATCATCAATATCACAACTTTCTCTTTTAACAACCAACGGTTTCATCGAACTCGGTGACACTGCTTTCTTGTCCACCAAACCATTCTCAACTTGCAACTTCAACAATTTTCTTGCTCTTCTTCTAGCTATAAGATTCTCAAGCCTTCTATTTCTCTCCATCTCAGAATTTCCAACATCCATAAGATTCTTCTGATCATTTTCTGTCCATTCAATAGTATTCTTCACATCATCCTCTTCGTCGTCCTCCTCCATCTTTTCTATATCCATTTCCGTATCACCACATTCGACAAGATCAACCATCGAAGGCTCGGATCTTAATGATCTCTTAACTGCGTGATGAGCTCTTCTACCCGATGATAAACCATAATACAAAGAACTCTCTCCTTTCTTAAAAGGTCCAATGTTTCTTTTATTAGTGTACTCATTTTGAAAAACTTCTGATAAATCTTTCGCCTTTTCTTCTAATCCACCATACACATCCCATTTCTTCTCCCTAAAGTTTCTCCTTCTACTCGTCGCATTTTGCGACGGATACTTGAATAGAATTTGCTCATGTCTACTTATAATGCTCGGTATCGGTATCTTTGGTGGTAGAATCTTCGGTTCAACTTTCAACTCTTCCTCTTCTTTTTTCTCTCCGATTTTCGCATATCTTAATTGTGTTTTCTCAGAACTCCAAAAGATTCTCAAGAATATTGCACCACATATAAGAAAAGGTGACATGTAACCTAAGAATGTGTAAATGTATGAAAGGAAACTATAGAAAATAGAAAAAACCAATAAAAGACATGAAAATTTTGGATGTCTTTTTAGAAACTTGTAACTAGAATCAACTGAAACATGAAACATTCTTAACAAATGAAGTTGAATGTCTTTTGCATTGTTTTTCAAACCCATCTTTGTCTTTTTCAATGTTAGCACAAAGAAAAAACTCAAGTTGTGCACATTTTATTCATCACTAGATAGATTTAAACTAGTGGAAAAAAGTGGTATATGTGAATAAATGTATGAAGATTTAGAATTGGCTTAGGAGAAGAATGATGGATAACAAAAAAATGCAACATTTGTGTGATTTGGTAAAGGTGTGACTTAGAAAATTGAAAAAACTAAAGGAGTTAAGAGAAAAACAAGGTCAATTTTCAATCAAGTGATGGACAGCAATAAAGGTGTTTTGTGAACCATGACATTTTAGTTTTCCTTTTTTAAGGAAACATTTTTGTTTGGTTGAAAATCTCATAGATCCTCTTATTTAGGAGTTTTAATTGTAAAGTTGTTTTAGACATATAGTAGATTAACTCTATGATGACCAAGTTCAAATGTAATGATTTATATTGTAAGTATAATGATTTAATCTATGAGAACCCAATTTCAAATGTTAGTTGGAAATTGGAATAATCCTTAGTCAAAGTTTGTTTACATTTCAACAGAATTGTAGATAAGTAGATCTCATTACATTGGATAAAGTAATTAAATTTATTCCAATTTTTCTTGTATTTTATTTTATTTTTAAAGAAAATAATTTGAATTTATTCTTTCATAATTTATTAAATTTTCTTTATCATAATTTCTTTATTTTTTTAGTTTAATTAAAATGAATTAAGTTATTAATTGTTTCTTTTATTTTTATATTATACATTTTGATTTAAAATTGTATATTTTTGGTTTTTTGGTATAAGCTTTAGAAAAGCATTTTGCTTCTACACAACTTATAATTGAGGGATTATGTACATGTATGGCTTCCTAAATCAAGTTATGTTGAGCGGGATGGGTTCAGTCTGGACCCAATGTAGCTCGCCCCAATTGATGACTTGTTCTAAAGAACAAGGTCGAGTTGAAATAGTTGATGAGATAGGTTGGTCATGTTAGCCAAGTCTAACACAAGGCAAAATTCGATTGAGATATGATGGAGAAATTTATGGTTGATTGAAAATGTTATGGCATAAGATTTGAGCAATCAAGCTTGATTCCCAATAACCATTAAGATGTCATACGAATCAGGGGCAATCACATTAAATTTCTTCTGATGAGTTTTACATATAGGACATGTCAGAATTACTATAAAAAAGAGAAGATGCATTTACAAAAATGATTTAAGTTCATGTGAGGTGAACTCCCCTCATGCATCAATACGTAGACACTTAATGTAACTCTCAGTTTCTTTCTCAATAAGACTTTTAAAGTGTTTAAAAGTACTAAATGCATATGACTTATCTACCCAAAAATAAATTCTTATTTTTTGAGTAAAGTTATCACTGAGCACATATTAAATGTCTTTTGTCACTATTTGAAATGGTAGTTAACGGACCATATAAATCTGCATGAATAAGTTGAAGCTTTTATGATGCTTTCCAATTGTTTTTCTTCGAAAGTGCAATTTAGGTGTTGCTTTCCTACCATGCATGATGTGCATACTATTGAGGTAGAAGATAATTAAGGTATTACATGAATAATAAAAGTTCTTAGTCCTTTATAGCTCAAGTGACCAAATATGTGTTAGGATTGGTTGAAAATATACATGTTTGATATTCTTTATGGTGGAGTATGATTGTCGGTGAAGATAGTGAAAGTTTATATATTATTTTTAATCAATTTGGAAATTGTTGGGTTGGTTGAAAATATGTGTATTGAAGAAGTCCCACATTACTTAGTTTTGTGAAGGAAGAGAGATTCCAAAGCTATATATAAGATTCAAGTTCTTCATTCCAAAACACACTAGTTAAAAGCACTTTAATCTTGTATTTGACTTTATTTGTTCTCTTATGCTCTTGTACTAAAGTGTTGTAGCAATTTTCACATAGTGTTATTCTCTGGTTGTCTATTTACAACGGTCGTGGTTTTTTTTTTCGGATTTGGAGTTTTTATGTTATGTTCTTGTGTTGTGATTGTGTTCCTCTTTTTTCTCTATGCTTTGTTTGTTTTTTTCCAACAATCTGCAGTTGAGACACGTTTTGAGAGGTTGAGTGGAAACGAACTTCCTTTCTTGGTTGAAACATAGTTAATAGAAATTTTTTATTAGATGTAATGAGATCTTCATCGTCACCTAAAAAGGAAAAGTTAAGTTTCTATCGGAGGGAGGCTAATTAGTCTTTAGTTGTGTAGTGAGATTCAATTTCCTTGACTTCTCTGGGTTCAGTGTCATAGGCGGCCATTATCTTCTTGTTTCCTAAGAAAATAGAAGGTAAAAGGGAATCGATGTCACTACCACTACTGCTATCACTATCATAATTAATGGAACTCTTTAAAGTTTCAAACATGCCTAGTTTCACTAATTTACCATCAATCGTCTCGTTGAGACGCCTAGCAGTTCTATAACAATGGTTCCACACGGTTATGCGTTCATAATGAGTTAAGAGTTATATCAGGTTGTCATTCTCATCAAAATCCCTAAATATAGCTATAAAGGAAAAAGGGAGAAGGAAAAATATTGAACATGCACCTATAAAAGATATGGGCTTAAGCCCGTAAAGATGTGATATTCGTTTAAGATAACAAAACAGAATTTCGGAGAATTTTTTTTTAGAATAACCACTTATTAAAGTTTATTTATCAATATAATGCATATTTGAAATAAATGTCCAAAGTGGCCAACAAATCAACGTCCAGTCGCCATTCCAATTGGTAAAAGCTTGAAAATTGGAAATTCAAAAAAACCAATTCGCCACATCAATTGGCGAAAGCTTGAAATCTAAAAAATAAACAAAGCAATTCGCCATCCCAATTGGCGAATGTGTGGTTTGTGTTATCAGATTAGGATTTCCACGTGTGCATTGTTAAATATATTAATTTTAATTGTAATTAATGTTTTATTCTATTTTTTAAATATATTATTTTTAATTAATTTCAATTAATAAATATTTTATTTCAATTCATAATTATTAATGTAAGATGAATTCTTATTAAATTAATTTAAAATTTGATTATGATTTAATTTTAATTTTTTTATAGTTGGTATAAATATTTTAGTAAATTATTTGTGTAAATATGTGAATGGTAATTGTTATTAAATTTATACACATTTTAATAAATATTTTTATTAGATTTTAATAATTATATGTTATTAAATTATGTTGTTTGTTTTTCATAATTAATTGAAATTTACATAACATTAAAAAAAAAATTAAATATAGAAATGTTAAAATAAAATATAGAAATAATAAATTATATTAATTTAGAATCTAGTGAAAAGTACAATTATAATTGAACAAAAGACAAAAACTAATGACCGACTCTATCCAAGTGACCACCGGTGTCACATTGTGGGGGACGCGCGTTGCGACGAGGTCTACGAGGAGGTTGCAGTGGTGTGTCCGGTCTCTGTGTGTTAAGGTGTGGAGGAGGGTGTGGTTGGGACGGCCCAAGCGTAACAGATAGAGTTTGCATCATTTGACCCCAATAGCCGGGAGGTCCACTGTCAACAGCGCTTCCGTAGTCAAGCCTGATGCCCTTTCGAAGGATTATCGGGGAGGTTGGGTGGAGTATGGACGATATGGTTGTCCGAATGTATACATGGAGTTGGGTTGGTCTAGGTGTGTTGGTTGTTGCGGGGTGTGGTAGTCGAATAATGGATAGTTTGGGGGGTCGTTGGAGGGGTAATTGGAGGGGTAGTTGAAGGAGTAGTTGGAGGGGGTAGGGTCAAATGAGGTGTCTGGGCTATAGTTGGAGGGGTAGTTGGAGGGGGTAGGCTCAAAAGACGTATCAGGGCTGTAATGGTAAGGTGGTTGAGGTTGGGATTGGGTGGTTGGCATGTAAGGTTGTCGTTGTTGATATGGGGTATTTTTTGGCATGTATGGGTTTTCGTAAGCCTGGTTTTGGGTACTGAACTGTTGTTGTGGGTTTGACGAAGAATCGCGTTCCCTTGGGTCGGCCAAATAGGTTGGCTGCGACAGGAAAGGCGGAGATGTCGTGACAGCCTTAAACCAAGTCATATATTGAAGACTTGGCCTAGCCCCGTGCACAATACCGTCGGTTAAGACGTATTGCCTTCTTCTTTTCCAGTGTATACGCAACTCCTTCGCAAACTCCTTCCAGTCACTGACACTCCACTGTGCGTCTACCCGCTTTTGATGCCACTGCCCCAAGTCTATTAGAGCATCTGGAATATCCTGATGCATCCCAAATTGTAGTTTCACCCGGTCACTTTGGTGCATCTCCACCGTAGTGAACCTAATTATGGGTGTCTTTGCTGTCCAGACAGCGGCATCGTCGGGGTTGGGCTCGTGGTTAAGACCCTCGTACGACATCCAGACAAACTACAATAAAGTTGGACAATTAAGTTAGACAAAGTTTGAGAGGTATATGCATATACATTAAAAAAAATTAATGGTAAATAACTAACATCATCTGGGCCAAGGTGGTCGATTAGGTTGCGGTATTGAATTATAGAGTGTCTTGGACATCTCTGATAATTCATTCCTGGAACATACCACCTAAAAAATTAAACACATCTTAGAAATTATTAACTGAAAAAGAATATGTAGTTGCTAAATAATCTCGAAAAGATACTTACTTGTTGGCATACGAGAACGTAAAAGAATTCATGTTTATTGGAGCAAGCATTGGCATCCTAGACCAACCCCACGCTTGCAGAAGATAAGCACAACCATAAAAAGTGCAGGAATTGTTTTTTGAAGTTTTACAAAGTGCGTTATATAGATGGGCGAGGACAGCTGATCCCCAGCTATATTCATACACTTTGTTAATATTGCGCAATAATGGTAAATACATAGTATGAAGGGTATTTCCAGTGCCATCTGGAAATAAAAAGTGCTCGAATAAAATCATAATATATCATCGAGTTTTTTGTATTTTCTCAAACTCGGTGCTATTGTCAGTTAAGACAATACGGTTGTATTGTTCTCTAAGGTATTTTAAATTTATTCCCTGACCTCTCGGGCGGC